AGTTCCTGTTTTTTGGGGGGGGGGGGTTGTGATGTGTGTGTTCCTGTTCCGCATGCGTTTTGCTCCCTCTAGTGGCTGATTCAAAATAAAACAGGTTTATTTCCGGTTTATCTCCCTGCAGATGTAAACTGCAGGGAGAAAAGCTTGAAATAAACCTGTTTTATGTTGAATCGACCACTAGAGGGAGTGAAACACGTTTGGAAAACAAGAACTAAACAGGAAGTGAAATGAGAATGCGGAAAAGTCCAATGTGAGGCAAAGGTGGCCGTCACCGGTGCACAAAATAAAGAGCTGTGATCTTGTGGGTGTGGTTTTAAGCATTTCAGTTGCTGGGTTTCTTTCTTTTGCCTAAACTGCGAGAGTCACCTGAATGGCTACTGTTCTTTGGAGGCTAATCCTGCACTTGTGTGACCTGCAGTTTTCCAGAAGGAGAGGACGCTGCAGGCACCTGAAGGTCTAGCTCCGAAATACAGCATCAGTCTCCATCTCTGCAACGTCTCCAATGCCTCGCTGGAGGAATCCAAGAGTAAGTGGGAAACGACAGTCTTGAAACAAATAATGTGGGGAAGTGATAGGGCACATGGTCCAGCACGCTAGGTGGGATCCAGACGGGTCATGTTTAACTAATGACAGCACTTTCCTCTAGAGCTCTTAGATCAGCCAAAGGTGACTTAGGTCAGGGCCAATGTCAGACTCCCACAGCATCAACGAAGTACACACTTGTAGTTTTACTTTATTTGAAGCTATAGGTGCATAAACAGGATCACTGTTCAGAATGAGGGGTGAGCAATGAGCATAATAGGTTATAGTACATTCAAAAAGTTGAGGCCCAATTGCGGGACTTCCCGCACGCGCCATTGGGGCTGGGAGCAAACGCATCTAGATAACATAACATCTCTGTTTCTCACGGTGCTCACCATGAGATCACCCAAGCAACTATTCAGCAGCAACCTGTGGCCTTGAGAGATATAGACGTTCCTGCAGCTAGGCAATTAAGTGCATCAACAGGTATACATGGGAAAGTGAAAGCACTCAAGCGCATACATAGAGTAGCAAGGAAAAAACCATTTGGCAGCTTGCTGACAGCCACGCACTGTCATTATGTGTCAGTAGAAAAGAGCAAGGGTTCAGTAGCACCTTAAAGACTAACACAGTTTGTGGCAGGGGAGGAGCCCACGAAAGGCCCACCCACTTTCTAAAAGCACATGGCGGGCAGCAGGAAAGATGTCGGCATTGGGGCGCCCCTGTTTTATGCAGCAATTTAGATTACAGTCCTGTTTCCGCATTCATACCATCCTTCAGAGGCAGGGCAGCTGTCGCTCACTCCGCTCCTGCTAACCATGACATTTTTAGCAAAATAGAAACCCGAGGGGATGCTGCCTGCCTCCTTGCCTTCCCCTTCACTCAGCTCCAGAGCTTGATTTGTTCTGAAATGCCGTCTTTCAGGATTTCAGCCATTGCAGAACGTAAGTGTGAGTTTCTCTGAGATCCAGGCCTGTTTGGAGAGCGCCGTAGCATCCCAAACATCTCTACAAGAGCGTTACGGTAAGCAGTCCACTTTGGCAAATGTTTCTGTTGGTTCCATTCCTATCCCCGGTGGATCAGACCAGCGGTCCACCTAGTCCAGCATCCCATGTCACACAGGAGCCAACTAGAAGAAGAAGAGAAGAGAAGAGATTGGATGTATACCCCGCCCTTCACTACCCAAAGGTGTCTCAGAGTGGCTTACAAACTCCTTTCCCTTCCCCTCCCCACAACAGACACCCTGTGCGGTAGGTGGGGCTGAGAGAACTCTTGACAGAAACTGCTCTTTTTCAAGAAAAGCTGTGCCAGAGTTATGGCTTGCCCAAGGTCATCCAGCTAGGTGCAAGTGGAGGAGTGGGGAACCAAACCCGGTTCTCCCAGATTAGAGTCCGTGCACTTAACCACGACACCAAACTAGTCTTTCTGCAGGGCCACAACAGGGCAGAGAGGCCAAGGCCTTCCCCTAATGTTGCCTCCTGGCTCTTCCCCTGATGTTGTAACCCGTTTACGGGATGGGCGGGATCTAAAAGCGAAAAATAAACAAATAAACAAATGTTGCCTCCTGATTCTGGGATTCAGAGGATTAGTGCCTCTGAATGTGGAGGTTCCCCTCAGCCACCATGGCTAGTAGCCATTGACAGACTCATCCTCCGTGAATCTATCTTAATCTCCTTTTCAAGCTGTTTATTCCTGTGGCCATCACCACAGCCTCTGGCAATTAAATCCACATTTTAATCACTCTCTGTGTAAAGCACTATGTCCTTCTGTGTGTTCTGAACCTGCTGCCCATCAGAGAGCGGGACGGCGGCAGGTCTTTTTGCCGGCAGAACTGTGGCCGGTGTAGTGGTGAGGAGCGTGGACTCTAATCTGGGAGAACAGGGTTTGATTCCTCACTCCTCTACGTGCAGCCGCTGGTGTGACCTTGGGTCGGTCACAAGTTCTCTCAGAGCTGTTCTCTCACAAGCAGTCTGTCAGAGCTCTCTCAGCCCCACCGACCTCACAGGGTGCCTGTTGTGGGGAGGGGAAGGGAAAGGAGATTGTGAGCCGCTCTGAGACTCCTTTGGGTAGTGAAGGGCGGGGTATAAATCCAGTCTCCTCCTCCTCCTCCTCCTCCTCCTCTTCCTCTTCTTCTTCTTCCCTCCCTGCTAAAAGATTTAAAGAGCCCTCCAGCTGGTTGGCAGTCCACGTGCTCTGTCAACCAGCTGAAGGGCTTTAAATCTTTTAGCAGGGGGGTCGAGGGGTGGCTGCAGTTTGGAGGGCAGGGCTTGGTGCATCCCCGCCCACTCTGGAATGCCTCCTATATCTCCCCGCCGGATCAATCAGGGGCCCCGGCAACCAGGGCCGGCTCGAGGTGTTTCTGCGCCCTAGGCGAGGCTGCCTTATGGCGCAGATGCCAACCTCCCGGTGGGGCCTGGAAACCTGGAGCCCTCTGGAGCCAGCCACCCTTTTGCTGCTGCCACCACCGCCTCCTCCCCACCCCGCCACCAAAGGGGGGGGAGGCACAGCTTGGCGTCCCATCCAGGGCCCGGCGCTCTAGGCGAATGCCTAGTTCGCCTAGTGGGTGAGCGGGCCCTGCCGGCAACCCCAGCTCTGCCTCTGAGCTGCGGCCTCTCCCTCCTTGCCTGCCCTTATACCCCCCCCCTTTCGTCTTCTTCTCTCTAAGCCAAAAAGGCCCATAACTCTTAGCCTTTCTTCAGTGGGGAAGTCCTTCAGCCCATCGACCCCTTTTCATTGTCGTCTTCTAAACTCTGTGACTCTGGATTCGCCCTTGTTCTCCCAGGGACTCTACTGGGATTGGTCTCTGCCGGCTGGAGGTTTCACAATGGGAGCTTCTACTTCTTTTCGCAAGAGACTAAGCATTGGCAGGAGGCTGAAGAGACCTGCGTGTCCCACGGGGCGCACCTCACCTCTGTCGCCTCCAAGGAAGAGATGGTGAGCCCACCAAGAAATCCTAGTTTTGCTGCACGTGGACCCAATGCATGAACCTTGCAGCGGACTGGGGGTGTTTTCTTGGCTGCATGCAGTTGAGCAGTGTTCTCTCTAAGCTGAGTTAGTGTGAGTGGGGCGGCTACAAGCATGAACGTTTCAAAAGGGAATTAGATAGGCATATGGAGCAGAGGTCCATCAGTCACTATTAGCCACAAGGTATGGATAGGGGCTCTGGGGCAAGTGATGCTCTGTCATCTTGGTGCTTGGGGGGGTCAACAGTGGGAGGGCTTCTAGTGTCCTTGCCCCACTGGTGGACCTCCTGATGGCACCTGGTCTTTTTGGCCACTGTATGACAGAGTGTTGGACTAGATGGGCCTTTGGCCTGATCCAACATTGGTGTCTCATGTTCTTATGAGCGAGCTCACAGTTCTTTAGCCTCTGGCTCACACATGTTTGTCTTAGATCAGGAAGGATGGCTCCCCAGAGCAAACTAATTAATGCAGGAGCCAAATCGCTCACTCACAACTTTAATGCCAGTAGCTCACTATGTAGAAATTTTGCTCACAGGACTCCACAGCTTGGAGGGAACATTGTAGTTGAGCACCACGGCCTGGGAGATGTGAGGCTGCCGACAGTCTTCCGCTATCCTGAGTACTGACTTGCGAAATGTACAACCTGCCTTTCATAGCACTTCAAAATGGAGCCTTACGATATATAATATAAATGATATCTGATGGTGAAAAGTGTTGCCAAGTCACAGGGCCAACCCTGCTTAGTGTCCAAGATCTGACCGCAGGCCCACAGCTATGGTGGGGCTTTGGGGGGGGACTCTACCCCCTTTCTTAAAGGCACAGCCCCACAAGAATTTCTCCAGTAAATGCTTTCTTCAACCATTTTAAAGTGTTTCTTTAAAAGGCGAGCGCTCCTTTAAGTAGAGTGGGGTGCTGTCGTTGACTAATTCCCGCACTGAGCAAGGGGGTTGGAGTAGGTGACCTCTACGATCCCTTCTAACTCTGTGTCAAGAAACTGGTCTCCTTTAAGAGAGTTTTCTTGCCTATGGAGGTCATCACCCCCGCCTGCTGGCTTGTTATCAGAATTGTTGCTTTCTTGCATTCTTTCAATGGTCTTTTGTTTATATCATTGGTTAGTTTTGCCAGTGTTGCATACTCAGCTGGTTTTTCTTTCCAGATCTCTGTTGTAGGACAGCCTTCTGTCTTCCATTTCATTGCAAAAATTGCTTATTAGAATAAGTCTCCCCTCATCAGTTGACACCAATAAAATCTTCCACAATAATTGGGGAGGGGTAATTCTGTTTCAGATCGTCCAGAGTTAATAACAACCTGGTGATGTAGTATTGGCTTTTAGGAATTTAAAATATAATGTAGATACTTGTACATGAAGACGTTTATTACCGTTGTGACTGGTATTGTTTGTGTGTGATGTGCATGATCGCTTGTGGGTTTTTTTTACATATTTAAATCTTAAAATGCTATTTATATATTGCAGGAATTTCTTGTCAGGGAGGGCAAAGGGAAGACATTTTGGATCGGACTCACTGATCAAAGGGAAGAAGGCAACTGGACTTGGACAGATGGCACAACATACAACCACCAAGTGAGGTAGGAAAAGTTTGAAAACTGGGAGTGGGGCAAGGGGGCGTTATCACTAGGTCATGGAAGTGACGTCATGACTCTCTAGGAATTGCCAGAAACTCTGTGGTAAAACCATGGCATTTCCAGCAATTCCTAGAGAGGACTGATGTTTTCCACAGAAATGATGTCATAGAATCATAGTTAGAGGGGACCTACAGGGTCATCTAGTCCAACCCCCTGCACCATGCAGGGAATTAACAAATACCTCCCCCCCCCACACACAGTGACCCCTGTTCCATGCCCAGAAGATGGCAAAAAAAACCTCCAGGATCCCCAGCCAAAATGGCTTGGAGAAAAATTGCTTCCTGACCCCAAAGTGGCAATCAGCATTTCCCTGGGCCTGTGAGAAAGGGCCATGAGAACGAAGCACTGATGCAACCAGGGGTCATTTCGTAGACAAAGAGGTGCAGGAGCTCATTAGTATAACTCATTAGCATAACTCATTTGCATATGCCACACCCCCTGACATCACCGGAAGTGTGTCAGAAGGCAACACCCACCGCTCAGCCTCCAATGGACTGTTTTGGATTGCTAGCTATTGGGGGGGGGCGTGCAGATCTTTCCCTCACAGAGGAGGGAGAGCTGGTACCTGAATAAAACCTGGTCTTAAAGGTGCCACTCGACTGTTTTGGACTGTGGGGCTGGAGGGAGCTCTGTAACTTACCTGGCTGCTTCTTGCTCTGCCTGAGGGCTGCTGGGAGCAGGGGGTGGGGCTTGTTGCATGTGCCCACCCCCTGGGCTCTTTACTGCCAGAGCTCCGCTCCTGTGCACTCCTGCAAGAAATGACCCCTGCTCCAACCACTACATCACACGGGCTTTTAAGTTACTGATCCATAACAGGACCAATATGGGAAGAAGACGGAAACTTCCTGGAAAAGGGTGTCTACTTTCCATGGAGGGGATCCTTTTGTTCATGTCACAAAAATATAATCTCCCTCCAACCCCCCCCCCCAAATCTCTGCAGTTTCTGGCTCAAGAGGGCTCAGAATCAACCTGATAACTGGATCACAACCCCAGAGAAGCGAGAAGACTGTGTGCATTTTTCAAGCAATAAGTTGCTATCATGGAATGACAGCAGTTGTGGAAGTCAGTACGTATGGATCTGCAAGAAGGTCTTCTCTTGAGCAGAAGAAAGGAACAACTGCCTTGCTGGATGAACCCACTGGATCAGCTAGTCCCACATTCTGCTTTCAAACATGATTGGCCAGAGGCTTCCGACAGGACACAGACACTAGCCAATCCACAAAAGAATCTTCCCAGCACTTCCCAACACCAGCACTTTATTGTAATTTTGTATTGTTTTATTCTGCTTTTAACTTTTTAATCATGGCTTTGTGCCCTTATTGTTAGCCGCCCTGAGCCCGTTGGGGAGGGCGGGATATAAATTTGAATAATAAATAAAATAAATTCCCTGGGGCTGTTAAATTTTTTAAAGAAATTTTTGGTGAGCAATTTGGTCAAACTCTTTTTGCAAGGCCAACAACGCATCTAGTGGACTGAGCTAGCGCTACATGCTCATTGGCACTCTATACAAATTTGAGAACAGCAGAGAGGAAAGGCTTTTGTCTGCAGAAGCTGTGCTTCTTCTTCCCAAAGCAAGGCTTGTTCTTCTTTCCACCAATCCCCCTGGTGCAGAAGGCTTGGCTGGTGAATCTTGTCACTTTCTGGTCCTTCTTTCAGAAAAAGTACTGGTGTGCACAGTTCCCTCTAAGCCAGGGGTGGCCAAACTTGCTCAACGTAAGAGCCACATAGAATAAACATCAGAGGTTTGAGAGCCGCAAGACAGAAACAAATATCATATTTTTATTTTTTTAATATGCAAATTTGCTTTTTTATTAACATTAAATGAGATGGCCAAAAATAAAAACAAAAGGGGTAAAAACAGATACTGATAATGGTATTTATTTGTTTGCTAATGATATTGATTTGTCTAAGAGAGAGAAAAAGAGAGAGATGGAAAGAGAGAGAGAGAGAAACAAAGAAAGCAAATAGATGGGAGGGAGGG